CTACGTCCTGCAGCCCCCGGCTCCCCGCGCCGCGAAGCGCGCTTCGACCCCGGCGACGGCGATCGCTCTTTTATAAATGATCCTTGGGCGGTCCCATGTGAGAGTTGTGCCCAGCATAAAGGTACCCTCTAGAGCCACCGGTCCTTCCCGCTGCATCACTGAGTAGGTCTAAAACCAAGAAAATAATCCAGTATTAAAAAAAAAAAAAAAAAGGCACTTTCAAGGAGGAATGCAGAAACACCAGCAAGGCACTGAGAAACACCAAGGGTTTCACTGTCCCCCCCACTCTTTTTAGTCTCTCAAATTTTGTAATATTTTATGTTTTTTAACATAAGTTTTTCTCCAGAGTCGCATACAGACAATACAAAAAATCTTATTTTTACAGATTTAAAGTTCTAGCTTCTGAACTTACAAAGGAGCTATTTAGGGGATCACAATGAATAGGCAAGGATTAAAAATATTTTCTAAAAGTATTAATTCATAAAAAAAATGTCTTTTTAACTGAGCCCCACAGTCACTAGGTGCTCAGTTTTATTTATTTATTTAAGCGGCCCGGGATAGCAACCCCGGAATCCTTCAAATCCTTTAGAAACTCAGGTTACTTTTGCACCCTCCGCTGCACAGCGCACATAAAACCCCCAGCTATTTAAGAGCCAGCAGCAGAAAGAGAATCCCTCCGCTCGGGAGCGCGGGGCCCGTCACACTCCACGAGCCGCAGCTTTGAGCGGGGAAGCTCGGCCGGGAGCCGCGCGCGGCCGGAGTCGCCCTAGGGTGACGCTCGGGTCCCCGGGCAGAACCCGGACCCGCAAGCGGCTCCCGGCGGGATGAGGCATCTTGGCAACTGGAGCGGCTTTGGGTCGGGATCCAAACCCTGGAGCTGCCCCGCACCATGGCTCCCCAGATAACCCAAGCCCACATTGCCGCCTTGGGTGCCCTGTGCGGGATCTGCCTGGAGCAATTTAAATATTTGGGAGCTTTAGTTCCAATAAGGAGCGATTTAAATATCTGGGAGTTTTCATTGCAATGAAAAATATTTTCAATCCCGCAGGAAAGTATTTTGCAACAGAGCAAAGTTTGCATGTGTTAGGGGCTGCCTCCGGAGCGTGGGCACTGCAAGGTCCTGGGAAGCAGCAAAATCCAAAGGGAATCTGTCCGGCCCATGCGCTCGTACCAGCCTCTGCACCTGCACAAGCGCCGGCAGAACGGGGACTAATCGAAGCAGTAGGCAGCAGATAAACACCTTAAAACATAGTTACAAATTTGCAACTTTCTCTAAAATTTCCTGCTTTTTTTCTTTGTAATTTAGGATTGATTCTGATTCTTTAGGGGGATGCAGTGAGAGATGTTGATACAAAAACAACCTATCTTGTAACAAAAGAAAAAAAAGTTTTTCTTAATAAAAAAGGGGGGAGAAATGTGCATAATTCCCCCCCTCGCCCCAAGCAGCCTGTTCCAGGATGGAATTTCTGCAATTGCACCGGACAGAGCGGGGCTGCTCTCGAGCACGGAGCCGCGAGTCCATTAGGGGAACGGATTAGCCGGAGTCAATGAATAAAGATAATGTCCTGGAGCGGCTCTCAGTGCCGCCACCCAGCTCCGCGCAAGGCGCCTTTGTCTCTTCCCACCTATGTGTTTCTTAAGTGTCCCTGGAAAAGCTTTTCCTGGACAGCAAGGCCAGCTTTGTGCCCGGTGCCTGCGGAGCCGGCTTGGACCACGGAGCACCTCCCTTCCCCACGGCACCTTGCAGATCCAAGGGGAAAGTGGCAGTAAAACACCAGATTTGGCCCCAGATAAGAGATTTGGCCCCAGGGTTGCAAGAAAGTTGGGAATTCCGTGCAACACCTATGAACACGGCATGCAATTCCGTCAGGGCACACAGCTTCCCTGAGGAAGCACGGCGCTTCCTCGGTGGGAACACGAGCAGACGTTTGGCTGCTCTGGGCCCTGCTCTGTTTCTCTGCAATTTTCTTTAGATATCACAGAATAAATAAATAATAAATAAATAATAAATAAATAAAAATTAATAAAAAAAGAAAAGATGGGAAAGCAGAACTTTAAGATCATAAATACCACGAGGAAGTACAAAACTGCTGCCCCCAGTCTCTGCCTCCACAGATTTTCACGGACAGATCAGGGAGACTGTTCCATGCATTGGCTGAATAAGCAACAAACCATCAAAGGCAAAGTTTGCAAATACTCCCTCCCACCAAAATAAATAAATAAAGTAAAAAGAAACCGAAAAAAATAAACTTTTCTCGAGAAGAGAGCAGCTCCTGCCGAGGATGCTGCTTGAGCACAGACTTGTGCAGAAACTGCGCACAATAACCCCAGCGCTTCTGTCCAGTTCTCACCCAAAGATAATGACAAACTAGCAACAAGCATACATATACTTAAAAAAAACGCCACACCTTTGTTTTAAATAGTGCTGAGTGTCAAAAATTAAAATAGCATTTAGCTTTAGGATAAAACTTCACTTCATGCTTGGATTAGCCATTAAGTAATTTATGTTACAAGTCAGAAAAAGAGGTGTTTAATCTTCTCATAATTAGCTCAACCTAGAGCAACTCTAGGAATTTCTTATAAGGCATTTGCCACTTTTTAACTGAACATTCCCTTTCCACTAGTGAAAAGCGCCTCTGAAAAGGGGGCTTCCGGCTATTTCAAATTTTAATAAAATGAAACACTCTGGGAAGAATAAATGCTTTCAGTAAACTACCCGATATACAACCAGACATTCCTTCCACAGGAGAGAAATCGCCAAGACTGACCTACAGAGTAAAGAAAGAGAAATAAGAAATATTGCTGGAGGGTATTTTGTTTGTTTGTTTTTAAAAGAAAAAAAAAGAACCACAACTTTTACTTAAGCTAAGCAACAACCCACAGGTGCCTTTGGGCCACATCTTTTGGCATTCGAAGCAGCTGGTGCAATTTTGGTTTCCCAGCAAGTTCAAGTACTTGGAAAACGTTTACATCACTCTGATATTCTTGGGGGAAAAGACACGAACTTCTGTCCAGCCTCGATTTTCCTCCACCCGAGCCCACCCCAGCCTCAGCGTTTGGCTCCGTGGGGCTTTTGCGAGGAAAAACAAGCCGAGCACACACGGGTTTTTGCAAAGAAAAACAGGAGAGGCAGCAAATATCAGGAAAATGGTTGTGCCTGTGATTGAAAACACACTTTTTTTCTGCAATAAAATAAACTATCCACTAAAATTTCCTTCACTGGAAAGGACGCAGCTTCTTCGCAGCGTCCCGCGCTCCTCCCGTAACACATCCCACCGCGCCGACAACAGCCCCGCTCTCATTCCCCCAATTTTGTGGTGCTTGGGATCATGCTGATGCACAGAGCTGCTACCAGGCCAAATGCCCTGCAGTGCCCACAGCCCGAAAGATCTGCCTCGCAGGGAGCGAGGAGGGGGATTCATTTACCCACCAGGCACGGGATGCGTCCCGCAGCCCCCGGATCGGGCTCACGGACATCACCCCAAATCCCAACTCTCCTCCGAGCTCCTTCTGCAGCCCTGGAGGTACAGACGGAGCTAGGAAATGTGCTAATAAATCCCAGCAATATTAATGCAACCATAAAAGTAAGCGTGCTACTCACTGCGCTCGAAGGTGCGCTAAGGCACCAACTTCAGAGTCCAGATGTGGCAAAACAGAGCCGAGACTCTGCGGGTGAAGATACGGCTACGGTTACGCTTGCCACGCGGCGCCCTGGCTTTCACACGTTGTTATTTGCTACGTTGAACCTCTCCCAAAACACAAAGCCCTAGGAAGACTATGTAAGAAATGAAGTATTCCATGCTGGTTTCAAGGGAACGCGACGGAGCGGCGGGGAGGACGGGGCGAGCTACTCGTTTGATTATTTTCAGATGTTTCGGAGGAACACCGCAGCGCTTTTAGAAATCCACCCGGCTGGATTCGCTTCAAAACAGCGGCCTCGCTTCTTCCCTGCCTTCAAGGGACTTAGCACGCCGAGCAGACCTGGCCCGGCCACGCTCGCCTTGGCCACGAGATGCGAGTTTAATAGACACCACATGCACGGTAGCTGCTCTTCCCAGGGTTTATCGCCTCAAGAGTTCGACTGCATCGAAACCCTCAAACTGAGCAGCTCCCCTGAGCCAAGACCTTGGTGCCCCGGGATTCGGATGGCACCGCTTCGCCTTGCCCCTTCACTGGGTGTCGTGTGGCCGGGAGCAGCCGGGATCCGGGCTGCTCCGGAAAGCCGAGCTCCTTCCTTGCTTGATTTTTCTTTTTGTTTTTAAAACCACTTAAACAAAAGCAAAGCTCCCGGAGGAAGCCGGGGCAGGAGTGCGGGCCAACTGAGAATAGAACGGTAAAGGTTAAGCCCCCAAAGCCGGGATAATTGGAAAAGCAAATTGCTGCTCCCGGTTCCCGGTGCCGTCCCGCGGCCGAGGGTCCACAACAGGCACCGGGACAGCCACAGACCCGCCCGCTCCAGCGGCGAGTGCCCGGGATCGGCCCCTCCGCGGCCCCCGACCGGTCCGTGCGGCGCCCGGGGCGGATCCCAGCGGCTCCCGGCACATCCCGGCGCGGCTCCCGCTCATCCCTCCAGCGCTTCCCTCTCTCCTTCCATTCCTTGTGCCCCTAGTTCGAGGGGCCGCTTGCCCCGCGGCGCTGGAGCCCCCCCGGGGAGGGGGGCGCATGGCCAGGGCAAAGCCAGGACGGACGAGCGGGGACCGCGACTGCCGGAACCGGGACGTCCAGGACCCGAGTCCACCAGAACCGCCCCGGGGACGGACGCCCACAGGAACCGGGACCCGATGGGACTGTCCTCAAAGTACTCGGCGACAGCGGCGCTAAGAGGGATGGGACCCACCGGGACCGGCGCCCACCGGGACCGTCCGCGGCACCGGCGCCCACCGGGACCGCCCCCACCACGAGGAGCGGACCCCACCGGGACCATCCCCGGTACCGGCGCCCACCGAGCCGGACCCAACCCAGCAGCAGGACCCCGCACCGACGGCAGCCCCCGCCGTTACCTGTACCAGCGCAGCCCCCTCTCGTAGCACCTGTCGAAGAAATGGGGCTCGGCGCCCACGGCGCGCACGGCCGGGTGCGCCCGCAGGAACTCGAGCAGCGCCCTCGTGCCGCCCTTTTTCACGCCCACGATGATGGCCTGCGGGAAACGGCGGCTGCCCCCGCCGCCCGCCGCGCTCCCCGACGGCGCCGCGCTCCCCGACGGCCCCGCGGGGCCGTCGGGGAGCGCGGCGCCGTCGGGGAGCGCGGCGGGCGGCCGCGGCTCGCAGGGCCCCGGCAGGCAGTAGAAGAAGTAGGTGAAGAAGAGGATCATGGTGAGGAAGAGCGAGGCGCGGCGCCCCCCGACGGCTCCCAGCAGCCGCCCGCTACATCCCATCGGCGGCCGCTGCCCGGACACGGACGGCGCATCCTGCCCGGCGCTCCCGGCCGCTTCCGACGGCGCCTACGGTACCGGCCCCCTCCCCGCGCACCCGGCCCCGCGCCGCTGGGCCCTCCCCCTCGGGGGGGCGGGGAGGGGGCACGTGCCGCGCGCGTGGGGTGCGGGCGCGCGTGGGCGCCGCCCCCGCCCATTTCCAAAGGGGGGGGGGCTGCGCTGCGGAAATGCGAGGTTTTTGCCCCCCCACTGTTAATTTATGGGGCTCTAATTAGTGATTAATTCCCTCACGTTGCGCAGCAAAGGGTGACGGGGGTGGGAAGCTCATGGGGGCTCCATGGTGCTGGGCGTGGGTTCAGTTCGTGATGGGATGGACCCAGGTCGTGGGTCAGTGTGGAGCGTGTGGTGGGACGTGTGGGGCTGCAGTGGGACATATGGGATGCACATAGGGGCGTGGGTGCCTGCCACAGGCTGCAGCCCAGGCTGCACAGGGTGCCCTTCCTTCCCGGCACAGGGACAATGGCCCCAGGCACACGGAGCCCATGAGCACCAATGCCCACATTGCACCCACCGGGAGCCCAAGCCTGGGGGGACAGCGAGGGGACCCCCAGAGCCGCTTCTCCTCACCACACACCCACCCCGCACAGCCAGTGCTCGCTCCCAATCCACCACTGCAGCCTCTTCTATGTGACTGCAATCAGCACTGTCTTAATTAACCTGTTAATAGACTTAGCTCTGTTTTTAATGAGGTCCCCCGAGCCTCCCAAAAGATGGAGAGCTTTGCAGGGAGAGGAAGATCCGCGGCTGGAGCTCAGGGGCAGCGCACAGCGCTGGGCCAGGGAACAGCGGCACAGCAGCCTATGGGCACGATGGCACAGCTGGATGGTGGCACAGCTGGATGGTGGCACAGCTGTGCGACAGCTCGGCTGTATGGCAGCACTGCAGCACAGCTGTGGGATTGCACGGCTGTATTGCAGTACAGCTGCATGGCAGCTCAGTTGCATGCATGCACAGCTGCATGATTGCATGTTTGTATAGTTGCATGGTTGCACAGCAGCTTGGTTGCATGTCTGTGCAGCTGCATGGATGAATGGTTGGATTGCAGTATAGCTGCATTGTTGCCTGGCTGCACGGCAGCTCGGTTGTGTGCCTGCCAGGTTGCATGGTTGTATTGCTGTGCTGCTGCATGGTTGCATGGCAGCTCGGTTGCCTGTCTGCACAGCTGCACGTTTGCATGGCTCCATGGTGGAACAGCTGCCTGGTGGCACATCTGCATGGCAGCACATCTGCACGGCTGCCCGAGAAGGGGCTGCGCAGCCCCGGGGAGGGACCTTGTGCCCACTCGTGGCTGCGCTGGGGCCGCCCGGCCCACGGCGCCTTTCCAGCAAGGGGAAACACGTGCATGCGCCGGGGTGAGCTCCTAGTGTCCAGCGTGGAGGTTCCCTGGGGAAGGTCGGGAAGCAGCAGCGTGCCGAGGAAGCGAGGCCGGCAGCGGCAGCGCTCTGGGCAGCAGAAAGGTCTCGCACGCTGCAGGCAGCGCTTGCTGAGCTCGCACAGGGATCCGCGAGAGGAACAGGGGCCCTTGGAGCTGGGAATCTCTCCAACTCGGTGTTTGCGTTTGGGGGGAGGTGGTTGTTGGAAATGCCAGCTTGTCTAAATGGGAGCACCTGGCAAGAACCCGCTGTTCCGCTGCGCTGCTGCCGGGCGGCAGCCGGGCAGGGAGCCGCGCGGGCCGCAGGACGCGGCGGCTCCGCGTGGGTGACGGGAGAGACGCCAGGGCGCCCGCAGAGCCCCGGCCCCAAAGCCCAGCTCCACTTTTCATGGCAAGACCAAAAAACAAAACAACAAAAAGACCCCACAAGCTTCAAAAGCACCTGGGTCCTGATGCTGTAATCACTGCAAATTTGGGCCATCCCATGTCTCCAGCACGAGCCTCAATAGGATCCTCCTTCCCCACGTGCCTCCATGATCCCTGTAAGGGCAGCGAGCAGCCCAAACCCTCCAGTTTCCTCCAGGCTCTAATTTAAAACATAATGGAAATGCATTTCTTGGTGCCGCCCGGGGATACAAAAATACGGAGCTGGGGGACGTCCCGAAGCGAAGGAGCCCGAGGGCAGCGCCCAGCCAGGAGCCCCGGCACGGCGCGTCCCCCCTGCCCAGCCCAGGCTTCGTCACGCAAAGTCCCCACTACAGCAAAATATTTTGCCATTAAGAACAGCTAATGAACATATAATGAACCGAGTAATGAGCCTAATTAGCCAATGCTCTCATTCCCCCTCATGGGCATCACGCTCCTGAGGCTGCAGCTGCAGAGATCAGAGCCAGAGGGGGGCACAGGTAGCACCAGGCGCAGGAGCTGGGTGCAACGCTGTGCATGGGTGCCATGCATGGGTGCAACGCGGCACACTGATGCAGTGCACCCGTGCAGTGCAGTGCATGGGTGCAGCATGCAATGCAGTGCACAAAAGGGAGAGAGGAGCTCCCTTTCCTGCCCCAGGATCAGTTTTCCCTTGGAAGAGCTAGTTTCCCAGTGATGCCACCCAGCAGCTCGGAACACGGTCTGCTTGCGGGTCCAGCTCTGCAGCCCCTGCCCTCCTGCTCCCAGCTTGGCACCAGGGAACAGTCATGCTTCGGTTTTGTCCCCTAACATGTTCAACAACACTGAGTTTGTTGGATTTATTTAAGAAAAGCACCTCGCATCAGAAGTACTCCAGCTGCTGAAGCCAGCACGCGGGTGTCGGAGCCTGGGAAAAGCAGCATGAAGGAGATGCCCGCGGCACGTGAACCCCCCTGCAGAAAGCTCCTCATTTGGGGCTTCACTGGGAGAAGCATCCGAAAGAGGTTGGGCTCCGCTCCTCCCTGGGACCCATCTGGCCTTAATTTCTTTGGTGGGGGGCTCGCTGCAAATTCCTCAGATTCCCTGGCAAACGCTCCACCGTGTGCGGCTCGGCTCGATGTGCCCGGCTGCTCCGCACGGGATGCTCGGCTGGGCCGGAGCGGAAGGGCAGGCACGGAGGGATCTGCAAATGGGGAAGCGGGACGGCACTTCCTCGTGGCTCCTGCACTGCATGCCAAATTCCCACGTTCGTGCCCTAAATTGTGGTTCTCGTGTCCCGAGGCTGCCTGAGCGCCGCCGTGCCTCAGTTTCCCCATGGCTTTGCTGCAAAGGCACCGATCACTCCAATGTGGGAAGCTGCTCCCCATGCACACAGGGCCCCCATTATCCCTGTGTTCCCCACGTGGGACCCCCACCCAGCAGGACGCGACTCTGCACAAGCTTCCCAGCCCCGCACGTTTCAGGGCCCGCGCGCGTCGCCCTCCGCGCCAAGGGCTCCGAGGAAGCGGCGACGGAGGCGCCCGCTCCGCCGGGAGCGCTATTCCCACGGGACGCTATTCCCGGGGAGGCCCATGCGCCGCTGGCAGGCACCAAAATCCCAGCGGCGAGCGGGGACGTCAGAGCGGAACAAAGATAGCCCGTGATGCAGAGAAGATGCTCGCCGGGCAAATCATCTCCCAGGAATGCGTCGCAATCGTGAAGACACATGTCGACTGCTCCGGCGGCCGCTCTTTAAATAGCCTGCCCGGTTCCTCCCTCCCGCTGCCTTCCCCTCTTCCTTTTGCATCCCATACGGATATAATTTAATTCCATCGACGATCTGCAAGGCCCTGGACGGGGCAGCCGCCGGCCCTGCCGAAAACGGGGCTTTTGCAGGGATCCCTGCAGCCCTCCCCTAGCTTCCCCGCTCCGGCTGTTAGAGAGGGAGCTGCACCAACCCCTCCGCCTAAATTAAAACGAGCTCTATTTACTGTTCCTGCTAATTGAATTAGGTTAGCTCCAAGGCAGAGGACAAGCAGAGCCGTCCCGCACGGTTCCTGCTCCTGATCTGCTCTGCATCCAGACAACCGTCCCGGCGCGCGCCGGCGCCTTCCGAGCGCAGGGATTTGCTCCTGGGCTGCTCTTCCATCCTGCTTCGACCAAGTGGGCCGGGAACCCCACTTTCCTGTGGGGCTGGTGGTGTTTGGGGTGAACGGTGCCCATGCAGGAGCTGTGGCTCCAGCAGGAAGCCACCTCTCCCGCTCCGGGCCGGACGCCTCCGTCCCCGGCCACCAAGGTGCTGTGTCCGAAACACTCCAGTAAGAGCAGAATAAGGGGGAATAAGACCTTAATTTTTCTGCAGATATTGCCGGTTTTCCCCCTCCCAGGGGTGCTCATTGCCTGGAGGCAACGAGCCCCATTGCAGCCCTTTGTGCCTCACTGAAACGGGACCTGCGTGTCACTGGGTTTCCTTTTTAATTACAGGAACTTATTTTCCATAATTCATCTAAAAAAAAAAAAAAAAAAAACAGAATAAATAAAAAAGCCCTTGGTCCTCATTGCATTTCTGCAGTGCCAGGTGCAATTAAAGCACCAGGTGCAATTAAAACAATCCCTTGGACCAAACCTGCCCAGAGGAGCAGCAGCGATTAGAGCTTCCTGATGCCTCCGGATCATTTTCCTTTTCCCCTCGCGTAACGTAATTTCTATAGGTCCTGCCATGTTTATTAAGAGAATTAATCTCCATCCCGCCGTGCTCTGGCCCTCCGGAGCCCTTTCGCGGCAGGTCAGGACAGCGGGTCCACTCTGTGTCATGCAAAGAAACCAGAAATATAAAAATTAAAAGGGAGGTCAGCTGGAGGCTACAGCGGGGAAACGAATGGGGCTTTAAACAAGCAGGGAAGTTCGCATCAGCCTGGCAACGTAATTCAATTTGGGGCCTCGGAGCCTGCTGTGCCATTAAACTCATGTCGCTGATGTGGGGCCGCTTTTGCCCAACTAAGCAAAACGCTCATATTAAGCCAGAATCGTCATTAGCCTAATGATCGAATGAGGATGGATGGCGGCAGGAAAGGAGCAGCCTAAGTCCAGCCTGGAGGCAGCGGCACAAACAGGGAACTGGCCCCACGCGGCAGAATGGGGGGAAAAAAGAGCGTTTGGGGCAGATTTGTCCTGTCCTGTGGGTCCCGTGGGTGTCTACAGTGTCCCCAGTGGGGACAAGGGACCCAGCAGTGCCCCAGGCAGTGGGGAAGGGACGGGAGTGGTGGTCTGGCCTGGGCGAGGATGCGGCTGCCCCAGTGCAGCCCCTTCCCGACCGTCCCGTGCCGGCCGGGAGGCTCCGGTGCCTCCTGCCGTTGCTGTGCCTGGAAAACTGGGGCTTCCCAAAGCAGCCGCCTGCCTTGTGGGGAGGAAGGAGCGGGAATGGCGCGTGCACCCTCCTGCGTCCGCAGCCCACACTGCAGCAGGAAGGCAGCGGCGCCTGCGCTGCGGAAAGCTGCTCCGTGCAGCCGCCTCATCCACGCCAGGACGTGGGGAGCCTCCCGGCGGAGCCAGGGACAGTGCTGGGCACGGGCCCCTCTCCATCACCCCAGCCCCACGGAGCCCGGAGGCTGCAGCGGGGAGGCCGCGGGGCCACGTCCAGCTCCATCCCCAGCTTCCCTGAGCGCGGCACCTGCCTGTGTCCGAGCAGGGGACACTCCGGGCGCTGCAGCTGGCACCCACAGTCGCAGCTCCCAGCCAGCTTCCCCCACGGAAACTCCTGCGAGACCCTGCAGAACTCCTCAGCCTTCCCCCCGGCAATCCTGCCAGACCACAGTCTAGAAGTCACCCTGAACAAAAGCATTTAGCTATGAAACGAGCCAAAACCAACCACAATCGAGTAAAAGCGCTCATCTAAGAAAAGATTTTCCCCAAGGAATGTTTTGATTCTGGAAGTGCCCCAAAGCTCTAACATTCCCCCTTTCACGTTGCAAAGCCGGGGATAAGTGCGACAGATGCAGGACAAAACCACACGGACCAGCCTCAGGCCAGCTGCATTGAGCAGGCGGGATGTGCGGTGGATATTTTGGGATATTGGGCTCCCACGTCCGTGGTTGCAGACGGAGACGCCTGGGAGATGTCTCTGAGTCACCTGGCAAAATCTGCCCTCGGATTTCTGGCCGTATCCTCAGACGCAGGGAGATTGTCCTAGATTTCCTAGGACTCAGACCTAGCGCACGTCCCAGACAGACGTAGCCTACAGCAATGCAGACAGCGAGTCAACACCAAGAAAAGCAGGAGAGGAGGAATCCCTGTGTTATCCCCCCAGGACTTACCGTCTAGAGGCGCTGCTTGAAAAAGAAGTTGTCTGGCACAGTGAATCAGTGGTTTATTTTTAGTATTCCAAGAGGTACAAGGTCAGCAGCGAACGCCAGGCGTTGAGCTGGTGCATTGCACTGGGTGCCAGTGTCCCCACAGTCTCCGAGGAGGTAAAACGCATGAGAAGCCCATGAAATGCATGAAAAGCTGCCCTCTGAGGGCAGCTGGACTGTGGCACAGCTTGGCCAACCACCACACACTGTAATTCTGGAGCCATGGGTCCATAAAAGCCCCGTGGTGACCAAAGGATCGGGGTTCACCACCCATCTGTGTGTGTCTGACCGAATACAGGGCAGGATCACAGTGTGAATTAAGGACAAATCAACGTTGTGGCCCTTCCCAGTGCAAAGGACACTCAAACATGTGATTCCTAAAGCCTGAGTTACGTAAGTTGCACTTGCTGAGCCTGATTCTGGTCTTCCTTGCGCCAGTGCAAGCAAGGAGGAACCGTTAACGCGCTGGGTTGATTGGACACAGTAACGGACCGGGCGCGAGGCAAGGCCAGAATCAAACCCAGAGAATAAATCTAGAACCGTCTCTACTGTGTGCAAGATGTGGCAGAAGGGCAAAACACCTGGATTTGGTCTAGCAGGATCATAAAATCATCTTTGCCCTAGCATCCTGGAAGGGTTTACATAGGACAATTCATACCATGATCCCAGCCCAGAATAGCACCCAGAGATTAACCCGGACTCTGATCCCTGTTATCCAGCGCTACCCGCTGGAAGCAGCAGCGGAGCGACGCCAGATGGCAGCCGGTGCTGAGGCAGAACTGGCAGCGGCTCCGAGGGAGCCCTGGCCCTGCCGCGCTCGAGAGCAGAAGGGCGCAGAGCTCCGCAGCGCCGGGGCTGCGGCCGCACGAGCTGCTGCCAAAGGGACGGAGCAGAAGGGCTGCTAGGAGCCAGCGCTGGCAGAGCGCAGGATGTTTCCGAGAACAGGCCGACGAGAGGAGGGCAAGGGCGGGTGGGACGAGGAGCCGCAGCGTTTGCATCACTCCAACACATGTACAGCAACCTCAGACAGACGTCGCACAACCCAGCACCCAGGCCAGGGCAGAGCTCCCGCAACCACACGCTGCCCTCCCTCCCCAAGGCTGCCCTGCCACAGCTCTGCCCCCAGCACCCAGAACCGCTCCTGAGGACAGAACTGGCCTGGGGCAACCACGAGCCTCTTTTCTCCAGGCTTTCTATGGCTCCGAGTGCCCTGCTGCCCCGATGGTCCATCCCAAAGCGTGAGCGTGGGATCAGCGGGAGCGGAGTGCCGGGTGGAGCAGCTCGCTTACTTCTCCTTTGAGTCCTCTGCTTTGCCTACAAGGAGGAGAGGAAAAAAAGAGAAAAAGAAAAATGAAAAATCAGGGTTCCCCATTCTTGCTCCAGAACCCGCAGTCTGTTTTATACAGTTATTTTGCTGCATGCAGCCAGTATTTCACAGGAGCTGCAGTGCGATAAGTAGCAGAGCATATGCAGCCACGGCGCTGCCCTCAGACGAGGTTCCCCAAAGCCCTTTTTTGGCTCAGGGAAGGAAACAGTGTGAAAGCCACACGGGAGAGCAGCCCTCCCCTTCCTGGCAGACCTGCTGCCTATCTCCAAAGCAACATTCCAACTCCCCGTGTGATTTCTGCACGTGACGACCCAGCAAATCCTCCCAGCTGTGTGAACATCAGTTCAGGAACTCCCTGCCCTTGCCTTGCCCCATCCCCAGGATCGGCACAGCAGGGAACTGGGAAGCAAAGGCAGTGAAACTGGGATAATAAGCTTCTTACCAAGCACAGCCTCACCCCAACTGAGCCCACCGCAGGAGGGCTTAGCCGAGCCGAGGAGCACAGAGCCACCCTCAGCGCGGCGCTCACCTTTGGGGACGAACTTCAGCGAGCTGCTAAATATTCAGAAACGGGACTGCCCCCTCTTCGGGCCGTCGTTGAGAAACTCATGGCCCAGCCCGTTGCCGCACCGGCCGCAGGACACCTGGGAACACAAGGAGGGCCCGGCAATAAGCGGTCCCGCGGGAGAGGACGGTGGGGTTCTGATACAAGGAAAGGGCTCTGCTTTTTCGCTCCTTTTTCCGAGCCCTTTCGGAGGGGCACCTTGTAAGCGCCGGGCCGCTCCTTGCGCTTGGCCACGCTGTCCTCGTGGATGGTCTCGGTGAACGCCGGCCACGGGGACGAGTGCTCGTACTTGGCGCGGCTGGAGAAGAGCTCGTAGCCGCACTTGGCGCACACATAAATGCCTGCGGGCACCGAGGGCAAAGGGACGAGCTCGGGGGTGGCCTCGGCCCCGCACACCAGGAGGGGACGGGGACACGGACGTGGGGACAGGGATGCGGCTGTGGGGACGGGGACGCCTGCACGCAGCGGGATTCATCCCAGGAGGGAGATGAAGCCCACTGGACTCCAAGCTCCCCACTACCAAGCCCCAAGGGAGGAGAGCAGGGCTTTATAGGGACCTGCATCCCTATAGGGGCCAGCTCTGCAGCCGGGACCCTTTAGGAAGGGTCCCCTATAGGGCCCCAAACTCCCTTTATAGAGAGTCTCTCTCCCCCCCTGCAACCCGGACCCGTGGGGCAGAGGGGCCTGGGCAGCACTCTGTGGCCCCCTCTCAGACCCGTCCCGGTCCTATAGGAGCTCCCTACAGACCCCATAGGGGACATTCCCCCCTCGCAGTCCCCATCCCCGCCCTACAGCGATTCCCTACAGATTCCATACGGGACTTCCCCGCAGCTCCATTCTGGCCCTACAGGAGATCCCTACAGACCCCATAGGGGACATTCTCCTCCCCCTCACCCCCCCGCGCCCCCCGTCCATTCTGGCTCTACAGCGGTTCCCTATAGACCCCCCCCATAGGGGACCCCCCCCCACCTCCTGCCCCCCTGTCCCGTCCCGTCCCGTCCCGTCCTGTCCGGTCCGGTCCGGTCGCTGACCCGGCTCGAAGTGGCTCTTGAACACCTCGCCCCCGAGGAAGGCACAAAACGACATGGCTGCGCCCGCAGCGCCGCCGCGCAGCCCCGCCCACGGGGCGGGACACGCCCCTGGACACGCCCCTTCCCGACACGCCCACCCGCCCTGGCCCCGCCCCGCGGCCCTGCCGCCCCGCCCCGCCGCCGCCAGGGGGCGCCGTGGTGCCGGTGCGGGCGGGCGCAGCGCGGGGGCGGCCCCGGGGGCGCCTCCGACCCGACCCGGGGCACCGGAGCCACCGGTGACACCGCGACAGTGCGACCCTGCGACACTGCAAAACTGCAACAGCAGGACACTGCAACACCGTGACACCACAACACCATGACGCCGCGAAACTGCTACACTGCAACACCGCAACACCATGACTACACTGCAACACCGCAACACCGTGACACTGCAACACCACGACACCGTGACACCGCAACACCACAACAGGCAGCCCTCGGGCACATTGCCGGTGCCCCTTCGGAGGAAGCCGAAGGAAGAGTGCACTCAGAGACACCCATTCGGGAGCTGGGTGCGGACAGCAGGAGCAGGGTCTGGGCTGCTGTGCCCAGGAAGGGGCCGTCGAGCACATGGGAATGTCCCCAGTTTGTGCCATGAGGAACTAGGTCCTGCTGCTGCCCCTGGACACAACAGCTCCTGCTCTGCAGCTGCGCACACGGCTCCGGGAAGCTGCGTGCCGAGCAAGCTGGGGTGGATTTGAACCTGCCCCCAATCCCTGCTCCAGTGCTAATCCCAGCTGCCCGCTGGGCACTGCAGGGCAAGGGTCACCTTAGCATTAAGGGCTATTTTAAGGAAAGCAGAGCCCTGGTCTGTGCAAGCAGGACGTGGCCTGGGCCGTGCCTGGGCATTAACCCACTTTGCTCGTGACCCATGTGCAGGAGCTGCACCAGAGCTCCTGCCCTGTTGCTGGTGACAGTGTGGCATTATTTCAGAGCAGGAGTCACCGTGATGCCCTGTGCATGCTGGTGCAGTGCAGAGAAACTTTGCATAAGCTTCCACCATCCCCCATGTGCTTTCCCTTCTGCTATGCCCCTGCTTCCACTTTTCCTCCTATCCCAGCTTGCCAGTGACAGCAGGGTTCTGTCGGAAGCACCAAAGCAAATAGCCAACATCCGAAACCAGAGTGTCCAGCTGCCAAGAGCAAAATCACTCAGACATGCAAAGGGGGAAGCGCATCCTATGGGGGTGTATATTTATAAAAGGGATTATTGTGCTAATCCACAGGCAGTCGGTGCAGCAGCTCACACAAGGGCCTGTCAGGGAGACAGCCCCATGCAGCCCCTGCCTGTTGGGAACGGTCCCCCAAGAGCCACCTGTGTCCTCAGTGCGTGAGCCCGACTAGATCAGCACGTAGCCCCCAGGACACCTCCAGGAACTGCGTCCCGTGGGACACACGGGGCCCCAGGAAGAGCCAGGGCTGCTCCAGGGCCCGACCCCGGGGCCCCGACCCCGCACCCGCCGGGCCGGGCACCCCGAGAACGCAGTAAAGGGCCCGGAGCAGCGGCCGGGGGCGGAGCGGGGCGGAGCGGGGCGGAGCGGGACCGCGCGCTCCTGCGGATGCTCCGGCACCGCGGGCTGGAGCGGGGCGAGCGCAGCCGGCCCCCCTTCCCCGGCCCCGCGCCTGGGACCAGCACCGGGACCAGCCTCGGGACCAGCCTCCTCCTCCGGCACCGGGACCAGCTTCGGGACCAGCCTCGGGACCAGCCTCCTCCTCCGGTACCGCTTCCAGGACCAACCTCCTCCTCCTCCAGCACTGGCACCAGCTCCCCTCCTGCAGCAGCGGCACCGACCCTCTAGCTCCAGCTTCAGTTCTGACTCCGGTTTCAGTGCCGGCCCAGTTCCTCTGCTGACTCCGCTCCTCCTTCCCCAGCCCCGGGACCGGCCTGGGAGTGGCGGCACCGGCACTGCCCCAGGTACCGGTTGCAGTGGAGCCAGGGAAGCCTCGAGCGGTGGTGGCACCCATCCGTGCCATGAGCGGGGCAGCCTCAGCAGCGCAGGGTGCGGGGGCGCCCACAGGAGTGGGCAGAGCTGAGGGGACACCTGGGGACAAGGCCATGCACCGGCAAGGGAGCCATGGCCAGCCCTGCATGGTGAGGTGCATCCTTCTCCACCAGGAATATCAGCCCCCGCGAGTCACTGCTTCCCTGCGCTTATCCGTGGGCTCTGGGATGACTCAAAGCTGGTGACAAGCTTGAGGGGAAATTGTGCTCCTCCCTAAGGCAGCAGCAAAAGCGGCAGGGACCTGCAGATGCCATCCCTGCCTTTTGCCCCTTGGTGCTTGGAGCCCGTGGCCCTTGGTGCAGCTCCTGGGGTCCTAAAGGGCACTGAGGAGCACCTCTGCATTCTGCAGGGCACCTCTGCATCCCGCAGGGCTCCTCTGCATCCCATGGAGCACCTCTGCATTCCGCGGGGCACCTCTGCATCCCACATGGCTCCTCTCCATCCCACTGTCGCACGTTCATCCCATACAACTCACACAGGACAGACTCGAGAGCCCTCAACGCCAGCCCTTCCAGGATGCTGCAAAGTTTTTCTATTAACCCCCTCAGATTTTAGTGCAACCGGCAGTTTGACAAGGGCTCATCTGGGGGTAACGTGCTCTAAGCACTCATGGGGCAGGTGCCAGCCTGGGGAAACCTCTCTGAGCGGCACCGCTGCCTTCAGCAGTGGCACCTCTGGACTTGAATTCAGGGGAAGGACAGGTCGGAGTCTCCGGGGATGCACTGATGCGGGAACCTCCCACTGACCCCAACTCCTGATCCTGGCTCTCCGGGTGCTGTGGCTGAGCACCGGGCTGTGATTATTCCTATTGCAGGGGTTGTTCACAGGACACATCCTCCCCTGGCCCTGCTGAGCGTCTCTCTCCCCTGCAGCCATGCAAACTGCGGTGGAGCAGATGCCTGACGCCGCGGACGCCGCTCCTGCTCCTGCCTTGCTGCCGGGCTCCCCGCGGCGCCGGGATGCAGCCCCCGGCAGCCCCCGGCACGCCGGTCCCCAGGCTCTGCGGGACAGCCGGACTGAGGACAGCGGGAGGCGGCTTTCAGACGATGGGAGCGTCGGCGGGGAGCACCCCTGGGCACCGGCGCTGCACTGCGGCTACGAGATCCGCTCCGACGGGGACCTCATGCAGGTGCTGGAGGTGCCGCCGGAGGTGCCACCGCAGCCGTGTCCGCAGCCCCGTCCCGGGGCGCCGGTGCCAGGCCGGGCCCTGTGCTGCGTGGCCGCCGCTGCCTACGGCTACCTGGTGCTGCCGCTGCCGCCCTTCGCGGCCGGGCTCTGCGTGGGGCTGGCGTGCGGCACCGCTGCTGCCCTCCTGCTCCTCGTGCTGCTGTGGCCGCCCCGCGCGGTGCAGAGCACCCAGCCCCGCGTGCGCCCGCGCAGCCCGCGCGACACCGGCGGCCTGCAGGTAGGAGCGGGGCAGCGCCGGGACGCAGCGCCGTGCGGCACCCGCTGCCCTCTGCGTCCCCGCAGGGCTGGCTGCTCACGGCGCCCGCCTACGGCACGGCGAGTGCCCCGGCACCGCAGCCTGTGCTGGCCACGCTGCGCGGGGCCGCCCTCACGCTCTCCTGTGCTGGTCCGCGCCGGGACGCCGCCGGGGAGCAGCACGACGCGCCCTTCGGCGGCCGCCTCGACGTGAGCAGGGCCACGGTGAGCGCTGCGGGTGCCGCGGGGCCGGTGACACCGGGGCTGGCCCGGCCTCAGTGCTGCTCCTGCTGCTGCAGGTCTCGCTCGCCCCGCACGGCCTGGCCCGCAAGAGGATGTGGAACAAGAAGTACCCCATCCACGTTCTCCTCCCCGCGGAGCCGCCGGGCACCCAGCCGCAGGCACCGGGACGGGACGTGGATGGAGACACCGGGAAAAGGTCCCTCTACCTCTTTGGGCGCACGGGCAGGGAGAAGGAGGAGTGGTACCAGCACTTGGCCAGGGCCTGCCGTGGCGCCCAGGGCAGCAGCCACGGTGAAGGCAGGACGGGTGAGCTGCACGATGGGGCCAGCACGGAGGAGCCTGAGATAGGATGTGCCTGCCAAGGAAATGGGCAACAGCAGGGAGAGCCTTGGGGATCCTTGTCCTTCTGGGCTATAGCCTGTCTTGTGTGCATGCATCGTGGATAGGTTGCACATCTCCGTGCATGCATCACGAATAGGCTGCACAACTCCATGCGTGCATTGTGGATGCACTGCTTGTCTCCATGCTTGCATTGTGGATGTGCTGTGCATCTCCACTCATGCATCGTTGATGGGTGATTCTTATCCATGTATGTATCATGAATGTGTGACACATTTCTGCATGTGCATTGCGGCTGCACTGCATGTCTCTGAGGATGCATCACGGTTGGGTTGCACATCTCCATGCGTGCAGCCCATGTGGGCTGTGCATCACCCCACGTGCACCGCGGCTGGCAGTGCATCTCCATGCACCCTTCTCCTCCAGGGCTTGGGCCCCTACAGCTGCTCCCTGCTCTCGCTCCGGCCACCCTTCTCATGTCCCCCACATCCCCCATGTCCCCCACGTCCCCAGGCCTGGGCCCGGCTCTGCAGAGCAGCCCCGGCGGCGGCAGCAGCGTGGGGAGCACAGAGGACATCCCCTCCGCCGTCAGAGCCCGGGACCTGGCGGGCCACGTGCAGCAGAAGACCCTGCTGGATTACAGCACCTACATGGCCCGTGTGGTGCCGGCGCCGGCGGGGGGCAGCCCCACGGGCCCCCAGGTGAGCAGGGACATCCCTCAGGGACTAGTGCGGAGCAGGGGCCACCCTGGGCGCCCTGGCTCCAGCCTGCTCCCAGCGGCAGCAGGAGCAGGGTCCCTGCCTCGTGCTCCAGGTGCCCGGGGGCTCCGCGCAGCCCGGCGGGGACGCGCGCGGGCGCCGCGTGGCCTGGGTGAACGCGCTGCTGGGCCGCGTCTTCTGGGACGTCCTGCGGGAGCCCTACTGGGCCCGGCAGGTCTCCAGCAAGATCCAGAAGAAGCTGAGCAAGATCAAGGTGAGGGGCGGCGGGGGCACAAGCCGGGCGCCCCCAGCCCTGTCCCCTCTGTGCCCGAGCCCTGCTCCTCCGTCCCCACCACCTGCATGGCGCCCTGGGCGGCTGTGACCGTCCCCGTGGGGCTCCCTGCCCCAGCTCCCCTATTTCATGAACGAGCTGACGCTGACGGAGCTGGACATGGGCACCTCCATCCCCTCGGTGCTCAGCGCCTCCAGCCCCACAGTCGATGACCGAGGTAGGAGCCTGGCTGGAGACCGAGGGCAGGGCTGGCCCCAGGGCTGCCGGTATCAAGGGGGGTTTTGGGGACCCGGGGCTCAGCCCTTCGCCCACACACAGGGCTCTGGGTGGACGTGGAGGTCACCTACAGCGGCGCGCTGCAGATGACGCTGGAGACCAAGGTGAACCTGTGCAAGCTGGGCAAGGAGGGCGCTGCCGAGGAGAGCGGCCCGGCGGAGGCAGGAGCAGAGGGGTAAACGGGGGGGTCCCCCCAAGGCCACCCGGCCCTGTGGTCCCCAAGGCACAAGCTCTGAGATCAGGGGCTCCCTGATGTGACACCGCGGTGGCCTCATCCCCCGCGGAGCAGTCAGGACACGGATCAGGGTGCCCGTCTGACGCAGCCCCGCGTCGCGCAGGGCCGGCCCGCGACTCTGCCCGCTGGCAGACAGCGACGCCGAGTCGCCCAGCGCCAGCTCCTCGGATGAGGAGGCGGCCGCGGAACCACCGGGAGCGAAGCCGCCGCCGCCGCCCGGCACGGAGGGGTGAGAGGGGGCAGCGGGGGCCGCGGGGGCTCCGCGCCGCTCCAGCGCTCAGCTGCGCTTCCCGGCGCCGCCGCGCAGCCCCGGCGGCGGCAGCAGCACGGGCCGCACCATCCTGCGCTTCGTGGACAAGATCGCCAGGTCCCGCTGCTTCCAGAGGGCCACCGAGAACGAGTTCATCAAGAAGAAGATGGAGGAGGTGTCCAACACGCCGCTGCTGCTCACCGTGGAGGTGCAGGAGCTGGCGGGCACCCTGGCGGTGAACGTCCCTCCGCCGCCGACGGACCGCGTGTGGTAGGTGGCCCTCGTGTCCCCGCGCACGGACACGGGGCCCTGCTGCGCGTGCCCCGCTCCCTGACCGAGGAGCAGGTCCGGGGCTGGCGGCTCCCCTGGCACTCAGCAGCCCAGGGCCGGGCTCAGCCCGCAGCCCCGGGTGCCTCCTGCCAGGACTCTGGCACGTGTGGGACACGGGACACGTGTGCCCCCTGCCCCGGCAGGTACAGCTTCCGCGCGCCGCCGCGGCTGGAGCTGAGCGTGCGGCCCCGGCTGGGCGGGCGCGCGCTCACCTGCCCGCACGTGAGCGAGGCCATCGCGAGGAGGCTGCAGCACGAGCTCCAGGTGCGGCGCACGGGCAGGGATTGCCGAGAGCAGGGGCAGAGCGGGTTTAGACCTGGGAAAACACAACCCTAGGCCTGCCCTGGCCCTCCTAGGACAGCCAAGAAACAGGGCTTCATAAGCCCCAGCTCGGGCTGCTACACCCAGGTGCTTGAGCAAAAGCTGCTTTCCCACAATGTGTCCAGCGTTACCCAGAGCAGGAGGGATTAGCAGTGTCCAGCAGGCGTGTCCCCGAAGGACCCAATTCACCCTTCCTCTCCAGTGTGGGGATACTCGGGAGATTTGCCATCACCAGGCCCCCATGGGTTTGCTTTCTGCCTCTTCCTTGCAAGGAAGGCAGCAGTGTTGTTCTTTTATGTCATTATTTAAAGCTGCTTGTCTTTTTCTTTTTTTTTTTTTTTTTTTTCCCCCTGACCCTTTTTTAGAAGGTTTTGGTGATGCCGAACATGGATGACCTGATCATCCCCATCATGCATTCCGGCCTGGATCCCCACGCAGCCGCCGCGGGGCTCCCCAGGGACCTACCGGCCGGTGCGGAGAGGCTCTGAAGTGCAGCCCCATAGCAGCAAGGGGTGCTGCACAGGGCTGGGGACCAAGCTGGGACACCCCGCTGGCCAGGGCCGGACCCTGGCTGCATCACATGGTGACGCCCAGGCTCTGGGCATCTCAGTCCATCACGTCCTCGGCATCATCTGCACACGGGATGAGCTGCAACCTCCTTGACATGCTACAAGGTCAGGCTCGGAGCAGAACCAGAGCCCAAGGGATGGGGGTTCCTGGAGACACCCAGGAACTTCATCCACCTCCCACGAGGTGACAAGGGGGCAGACCTGGAGCAGTGGAGGGCTGGGCTTTCCACTTTCCCAAAGAGCATCCAGGATTCCCAGACTGTTTCTGCGCTTGAGGAGTTGGGACATTTTGGATCAGCAGGGATCACAGCTCCAGGACACTTCATTACCCTCCCTGCAGGCAGCTGGGCTGCAAGAAGATACAGGTGGGACAAAGAGTCCAAAAATCTGAATAAATCCATCACTGCCCAGTTTTACCTAGCGAGGCATCTCAGTGTACGCAAGTTCCCGTGGGCGGGATCGTGGGGATTAGTGCAGCTGGAAGTCATGCTTCCAGCCTGGCAAGAGGAGCGCATGTCTGTGTGTGCATGTGGGAGACAGGAGTAAAAACCCTGTCCATGAAACCGGGCAGAAGCAAGTGATGGGGAGGCCCTGTATTCCCAGCTGCAGCTGGACAAAAATGCTGGTACCTGCTCTCCTCTGGAATACAGGAATGGCAATCTGATCCCACCATGGCTACACTACGGTTTAGGGGAATGCAGGCAGTGAGGAAGTTCTTTGGGAAAAGGCAAGGGAGGATCCAAAGGACAGAGCAGACACGTGGTGGTAGCTCTTAGTGGTACCTGTCCCATCCCTGCGTATCAAGGAGCCTGGAGGACACAGAGTTGCCCACTCAACATGGACAACGTGACCCCTCTGGAAGGAAGGCAGGGAGCAGGCAGGGCTTGAAGCCTCTTTATTGAAGGTGCCCAGTTACAGCAGCCGAGCAGATCTCGGCCCTTACAGCTCCTGCTGCCCGTGCTTCTCTTTCAGCAAGTGCTTCTTCTGAGGACCCTGAAAGAGAGCGAGAGGAGAGGTCAGGGTGTGTGTGGCACACAAAGCTGGCCAGCGGGCTGGCTGCCGCAGTGCTGGCCCCTTTCTGCCATTCAAGGCTTCTCGTGGTCTCTGCCCCTGCCTGGTAGCTCTGTGCCCTCATTCACCTGCATCCGCGAGGGCCTTCCGAGCTCTGCAGGAATCACCGAGTCACTGCCCGTGCACACACAGGTGGGTCACGTGGGCAGCACGGAGCAGCGCGAGCGGCAAGGAGCGCCCTGCTGCTGAGCCTGGCAGCTGGCCCGCAGCCGGGCACGGAGCGGAGCAGCAGGGCTCGGGATGGCTTCCAGGAGCCCCCAGGAGGCTGCACGAGCCCTGGACCAGGCAAGGCCACCCACAGCCAGCGGGACAGATTCTCATCAGCCACCTCAGCAGAGACGCAGGGGTTTCCAGCAGCTAAGAAACAGAGCTGAACTGGACCAAGGCAGCCACCCGGGAGCAGGTTATGGCAATTACTGTTGCTCCTCTACTGCCAGCCAAAACAAATCTTACCCCTTACCCTCTTAAACAGGGAGGACATGTGCATCCCACAGCACAAAATAGGCAAATAAACACCTCCAACAATGCAAAAACATCTCCTGTAACTAAGGACGATGTCACAGCTGCTCAGGACTTACAGCAAGAGCAGAACACAGATGCACTCACTGCAGAACAGCTCCTAAGACTCAGCTGAAGGCAAACAACTTAAGCCTAAGAGCTCTGCCAAGGCACTGAAAAGCCAATCCTCCTTCCAGCAGCTAAGGCAGCTTAGGCAATGGGATTCGCATAGGATTGAGGGCTGCAGGTCCTGCTTCACGTCTGCGTGGTATGCAGGAAGTTTCTTTACGCTAGCTGAAGACCTGGCTCGCTTAATGTTTCCTCAGTTTCATATTCAGACTTATGACCAGCCTGATGTAGGCTTCAAATCTATCCAGGAAATTCTGCTCATTTTGGATTTAATTTTTTTTTTGCACTGGATTTAAGAAAAATAGACTTCTTAGCCTTTTTAAAAGCTTCCTGACAAAAGAATCTCAAGATTGTTGTTGAATTTGACCCAACCTTTTCCTCCTAAGAACATTAAAGTTATAAATCATTCCAACCAAATCAAAGAAATGCACAATTATGGCTGAGAGAGACCATATGTCCACTGCAACGGCTGCCAAGTTAACTGCTTGTTTAAAACATCCCATGCAGAATGGAAACTGGTTGGCCATGTGGTATATTAATCGCTTGCTGGCTGTCCTGGATCAGTCACACAATCATCCTGTTCTTCCTTAGCATAATTTCTAGTGTGTGAATTGAATTCATGCCTGTCTTTCAGGCAAGACAGTCCTGATCATTCATTTGGCTGTTGTTGTACCTAGAAACAGACGCTTGGCTGCAGTCAATGAGTTGCTCCAGCCCCAGCTGCGAGGAAGGCCTGGGAGCTGGAGCTGGCACGGGGCACAACTCACCATGAATGCCCGCTTCTCCTGCGGCGTCTGGAAGCAGCCGTGGCCAAACTTGGAAGTGGTATCAATGAACTTGAGATCAATGACTTCCTGAGAGCGGCGGCTTGTGTGCACCAGAAGGGACTGGAAGAGAGAAGCCACCATGCAGTAGGTTTATTTTTGCCAAAAAAGCCCTGAGCACCTGCTTTGATGGAAGCAGCATAAAAATATCCTAGGAGCACCCCTTAGACATGAAAATCTGCTTCCTCAGAGCAGCAGCCGGTGGTCAGGCAGCGGGTGACGCCTTGGACTGCAAAGCAGCTCTGAAATGAGCCTGCCCTTCACTTAGCACTTCATTCCCTCGCAGTCTGCTTCTGGCCAAGGTTTCCACTCGCAGGCCCCCACCACAGCCCCAAAGGTTTGCAGCTCCTTTCTGCAGTGAGAGAATATAGCAGGCTGCACGCAGCCATGACCCACCTAGCTGCAAACGGAGACCAACTGAGCTGGAAGCAGAACCCGTGGCAAGAAGAGCTGCATAGTGCCGCTCCTCTGCGAAATCCCTGCTGCCCCGTGCAGAGAACGTTTGGAGCCAGCAGCCAACTCCATGCAGTAAATGTGTCACAAAGAGCTACAGCCTCTCCCTCCCCAGCGCCAGCCGCGCTCTCACCTTCCGCAGAGTGAGCACTCGCTTCTTGGTGCCCACAACACAGCCCTTCAGCATCAGGAAGTCGTTGTTGACCTCCCCATAGTGAGGAAAGCCACCCTGTGGGGACAGGGAGAGAGATGGTTGGGACACAGGAGAGCTGGATGGTGGCACACTAACATTTTCAGTGGAAAAATAGAGTTTTTTTTTTTTTAAAAAAGTCCTTAGTCCTTGTCCAGCCTATCAGCTGAAAACAAGATGTGTGAGACTAACAGAGGGCCTAAAAAAATCCCACAGAGATGGTTTTCTATGTATAAAATAGGAAGGAGAGAATCACTGCATTTCCCTCAGTGGAATTCAAATCATTTGCTATCATTTCCCACGTCTCCAGCCACAGTCTCCAGCTGGGCAATTACATTCCTGGTGCAGATCTCTGCAGCCAGGGCTGGCTGCAGCCCTGCTACCCCCTTGGCCCTTACCAGCGGGGTGATGGACTTCTCTGTCATGTCGTAGCTCGTTGAGGCGTTGTTCTTCACCAGTTTGCCATCCTCCACGTGGATCCCGCGGCCAATGCGGTAAATCTAGAAACAGGAGGAAAGGTTGTTGGTAACTCCCCTGCTCCCTGGCAGGCAGGTGTTAGAGAGGTGACACGATCACCACTGAAGTGTGTTCCCCATGCTGTGTCCCCTGTGCAGGGAGCAAGCACTGCTGAAAACATGAGCAGAGAGCACTGCAGATCCCTAAAGCAAGATCCGAGAAGCTGGTCACCCACTGAGGTCACCATGGAAAGAAGGATGGTGACAACCTGGTGGGAAGCAAGTGGGGAGGCAGGTAGGGAGGTGCTGCAAGGGAGCCCCCCTGGGCCCTACCTTCTTGTTGAGCTCGGTGCGGTGGTGGTAGCCCTTCTGGCCAGCCCGGGCAATGGAGTAGCCAACCCGGGCCGGGTGCCAGGCTCCGATGCAGGCGACTTTGCGTAGGCCCTTGTGCGTCTTCCTGGGGAGCTTCTTGGAGTGCCAGCGGCTCGTCACCCCTGCAAGCGTGACAGGACAGGGCTGAGAACATCAGCAAGTGTGGACAACATGGTCCTTGCTGAGATAAAGGGGCCAAGCTCTGCTGCATGGGGAACACACGTCACAGCTGAGGCCCAGGGGCTCCTTGCTTTCCCCTGTGAAAGGAGTTGGGGAGTTCTCAGCACAGGTCACATTCTCCTCTTGCAGCTCTACTTTGTGGGCAATGTCACCCGAGAGGGACAGACAGAGCCAAGCCCCTGGCAGAGGTCCCCGTGCTTTGTACCTTTCATCCCGTGCCCCTTGGTCACACCAATGACATCGATCATCTCGTTCTGGCTGAAGACGCTGTGCACAGAAATCTGCTTCTCCAGCTTCTCGCGGGCCCAGTCAACCTTTTCCGCCACTGTCCCGCCGTTCACCTGGATCTCCATCACGTGGGCTTTCTTCTGCCGCAGTGGGAGCAGCTTCATCTGTGACAGGGGGAAACGTTTCACCCCACGGGCAGGAATGTGCAGCAGGCTGCGTCACCCAGCGCATGAGAGCTGCGAGGGGCGAACAGGGCCAGCTCCAGCGCTTCCCAACCGCACAGCCAGCCCCTTTCCTGACAGCCAGCGAGCCGGGGTGGGAGTCAGCACCTTGAATGCAACCACCCCTCCCTCCCTGCCTTAAAAGCAGCTGTGATCCAGGGGCCATCCAAGAGTCCTGTCCCCGAGGCCTCTCTCTCATCCAGCTCCCCTCCTGCTATGGGTGTTGGCACCAGCCAGCAGCCCGGAGCACCCAGCTGCAAGCAGCTCCCAGGCCAGGTGCCCATTGCTGCTGCACAGCCTGGCGTGCAGAGCTCCCTCCCAGTGCTCCCAGTCCAGGCAGGGCTGCTGCACAACCCAAGGGTTGAGCACGGTGGAAGCAGCTACAGGAGCTGTTTGGAGGAGGTCTGAGTCCTTCCTGGTCTCAGCCACCAGGTCAGCAGCTCCCTTCCATCGTGCTCCATTCACACTTCCACATGGAGCCGTTATTTCCATCTCCCACCACGAGGTGCTTCCATTCGCTCCCAGTGCCCACCAAACCACCACAGTGACTTCGTCAGGAGAGTGCGAGGGTCTGTGCCAGCCACAAAGCAGCTTCAAGTCAGCTTAGCTCTGCCCTTGGCTCCAATTAAACCATTAGCTCTCAAGGGATCAGTATGCAGATGGCCCCTGTGTATCCAATAACCAGCATCTGGCAAAACTGAGTCTGCCCATCAGTTATTTTTACCCCAACATTTGACACCGATTGCTAATTCGAGGTGATCAGGAGGCCTCAGCTCCCTGCTGCCACAAGGCTCAGCACCTGCTGAGGCCCTCAGGAGCACAAGGTCTGCTCCCCTCGGTGGGACATGGGCTCCCCGCTCTGAGGCGGGGAGCCTGATAGAGCCACAGCCTTTCCTAGGGCTCCTGGACTGGGACTGGGAGCTTGACTCCCAGCTCAGAGGGATGGGCTGGTGTCCAGAGGTGGCTGGAAATATCAGCCTGGACCTCCTGCTGTTTGTGTGCCCCATCCCACACCCTCTGCCTGGCATCTGCCTCCCCTGACGCCACCAGGACGAGCCCATAGATGGAAGGACATCCCCTCCTTCCATGTTCCTGAGCTCAGCTGGACCCCCAAACCCACCCACTCCTATTCCTCCGCACGAGGCGCCGACCTGGGTGTGCATAATGACACGGATGACCTTGCAGTACTTCTTCATAGCTGAAAAGTCTTTCTCCAGCTGCTTCTTGCCATCCTCATCCTGCCATTTTTTGCAGTACTTGGTGAAGGCCTTCTTCTTGCTCTTGTGCCTGCAACGAAAGCAAAGGACATCCCTCACTGCAGAGCAGGGAAGTGCAGGAGCCAGGGCAACGCCAGCTGCTTTTCTGGAGGCACCGGGTACCAAGCCTGGCTGCCCAAAGCCAAGGTGAGAAGGGGGAAAGTGAATAATGAGCCACAAAAAGGGCTGACTCGGAAGTCTTCCATAGCTTTCTCTCACAGCTCTGCTCAGTACCACCAAAGCACAAACACATAATCAGAGCTAAGTGGAGAAAGAAGAAAACAGTCTGACAGGGATCAGGGACGTGGTGGGTGGATCTGATGGTGGATGGGCGCTCTTGCAGGAGACACAATTCCTACAGTTATGAAATTCATGTTTCTATTTTCCTCTCTCCCAGTGTGGGATTTGCAGAGATGATGCTTGCAAGGGCCAGGGACCACAATCTGCATGGTTTTTCCATCTGGGAAATCTAGGTTTTATTCCCTTCCCTTGGTGCTTTGGTTAGAGCATTCCAGTTTAACAGGGTGGATGGGCCCAGCCTACAAACAAGAAACCCAACCTGCGGCACGTGCTGCTGAGCGATGTTCTGGAGACAGCTACCTCGGTTCAGCTCTTGCAACAAATTTACATATGCAGATTCCCAACAAAATAAGTGTTTGTAGCACTTCTGTGCATGGCCAAGGAGCTGTTTCACTGCACCCAAAGCCAGCTGCCTGTAGCAGAAGGGTTTCCAGTGGTTGTACATCACAGAGGGCTTCAGGGAAGGTCTGGGAAGGGCTCCCTGCCCACAGTGCCCCAGCAATGCGGCCCGGCCAGGGATGCTCCTACCAGTTCTTGTAGAAGCGGCGCCTGCACTCGTCGCTGATGTGCTCAGCAAACACGGTCTTGAAATTTCTCAAGCCCCGCTGCGTTTCTATGTACCCCACGACTCCCACCACCACCATGGGGGGGGTCTCGATGATGGTCACTGCCTCCACCTCCTCCCTCTTGGAGATGCCTGCGAGACAGCGAAGGGACACGGCGCTCAGGGACATGGTGCTCCGGGACACAGCGCTCAGCATGGCCTGGCCCCAGCTCGCTGCCCGTGAGCTGGTTGCAGCCCGGGCCATTGCAGGGAACAGCTCCCGGGATGGGCTGGCCCTCTGCTCTCTGTCTATCTTGCTTCAGGGCCACACAGGGGCTGATCCTTAGACAGCAGGTTGGTCCCCATGGCCCAGCACGTTTTAACTCGTTCCCCTCATGGGGCAGGGGAACAGCAAATTGTGCAGGTCCTGCCCACCCTCAAGCTAAAGTCCTACCCTGCAGGCATGCCAAAGGAGCACGCTGTAAACTTCCCCAGCAGGATTTCACAAAACTGGCTCCTATCAGGCAGTTACCCTGCAGGGTCCTTCTCTCAGCAGGATCCAACAAACCACGGACATCATTCTGGTGAGGGGGCACCCCAGGAGCCTCCAAGCCCAGCCCACCCTGGCCACGAGGTGGCCTTTGGCCATCCAGATGCCTAGGCTACAGCCTGGAAGCCCTGTGCTCCGCCACCCGTTTCCACGCGCAGGCCCTGCTCCCGGCAATCCCGCTCCTTCTTTCCTCTCCCTGCATGTTCCCTCTGCCCCTCTCCCTCTCCAGCGCAGCCTTACGGAGCCCAGGCCTGTGCACCTCCCGCAGGGTGTGCGTCATGCCAGCCTTGTAGCCCAGGAAAGCCGTCAGGTGCACCGGCTTGCTGGGGTCGTCCTTGGGCCACGTCTTCACCTTCCCTCGGTGCCGCCGGCTCCTCTTGTGCGGGAGGAAGCCCAGGTGGCCGTGGCGGGGAGCCGAGAACTTGCGGTGCGACTGCGGAGAGAAGGGCAACAAAACTCACTTTCCAGTCCCAGAACGGGACCCCAAGGGACCAGCCCCAAGGCACAAAGGGACGCCTGCCCTTGAACCTCGGGGCGCTCCAGGGGTTCTTGGCTCTGCAATCCCAAAGAAGCCCGCAACAGAAGGGGTTTTGTTCAAGATTCCATCACCTGCATCACAGAATTTACGTCTCTGGACAAACGATGTGGATTAACTAACTAAAAGCAAGCTGAAAATCATTCCTCCACTTTCTGCTCAAGGACTTTTTTTCAAGGAGAAATAAGCTCTTTAACAGATTGGCCCTTCTGTGGTGCTAATTGTGATTATCAATTTTGAGTGCAGACGCACTAAAAGGGCCTCGTTAACATCCGTGGGGTACGTTCTGTCCTTCCAGCACTCAAGGCAAACAGCAGCAGACGAACACAGCTAACAAGAAACAGAAGAGATGCTCAAAGGAGTCAGTAACAACAAGCGCACACTAAATATGCACCTTGAAAATTACTTTAGAAGCGCTAAACGTATAAGCCACAATCACAAGATCATGTTGTACCAGGCAGAAAAATCCACAGCGCCTTGGAGAGGCACGGATGAATTCTTAGAATATTGGGGAGCTGGGGAGCCCATCCGAGCAAGGAAGAGTTAGATTTAGATAAGATCAGTCCCAGCACCCGGTGGCACTTTCCACCGAGCTCGTTTCCAAGCCGAGAGGACCTGTGTCCATGCTCCTCCATTTGAAATGTCCAAGCAGCCCAAGGGAGCCCCCGGCCCCGCTCGCTGCCCCTCTCCCTGCAATCCACAAGGCAGCAGTGCGGAGCTTTACCAACCATGGGACGTCTTCAGCCCAGGCCAGCAGCAGAAGAGACTACAAGTAAGTGCTACCCCGGGCTAATACTTAAGATGTTTATCCCTCAGAAGACACAAATTTAGCTGCTAGCTTCATTGGGCGCTGTATTCATTACACACCGAGCAGCGCCTGGCACTGACAGCAGTTGCGACGTGATAAAGGTCAATTGCTGCTGTCTCAGTTTACTCTTATCCCCTCCAAACAAGCCGGACATGAATGGAATCAATCACAGGAGCTTCCTAATCGCAGAACAACACAACAAAAGCTGGGAATGCTCATGCTGAGCATGTGAGGAGCCAAACCTGCTGCATCCAGCAGCCTGCTCAGGAAGAAACCACAGAGGAAACGTCTCCACGTGAGCCCAGGTTCCTCACCAAGATCCATAATCCTGCCTGGACAAGGGACAAAGGCAGCAGGCCACATCGTGGACACGGGCTGTGCTCCTTCCCTAGCTTTTTGGGCTGGAAAAGGCAGACAGAGGCCTTGACAGCACCTGCATTTCCATGGGGGATCCTGAGGCACCGGGGGAAGGGGCCAGGCTGCACCAGCACCGCGGCTGCCCTCACTACAAGCGATTAACAGTTACAAATACCTTACAGGGGTTAAAAACTGCCTGTGAGCTACGACTCCAATATCTCACTCACTTGCTCTGCTTCATCGCAGTTTCTTGGCTCTTAAAAATTAAATAAATAAATAAATAAATAAATAAAGTGGAGCACGTGAATATGACACCCTGACCGTGGTAAAACCAGCCGCCAGCCCGGGAGCCAAGGCCAGGGCCGCCGGGGAAGCCCGGCCGGCCGTTACCGGGCCCTGCCCCGCAGCAACCGGATCTCGGCGGTCCCGGGGGCGCCGCCGCCGCCATGTCCCTTAACGGCACCGCCGGGTGCCTGAGGGACAGGCGAACTACGATTCCCGAGATGCACCGGGAGAGGCGGGAACTACGATTCCCAGGATGCACCGGGATCTGCGCGCATGCGCAAAGCGGGGCGGGTGGCCGTATGGAGCATGCGCAGAGCGGCGCCCCGCGACCTCGGTGCTGCCGCCGCCGCCGCGGGCTGTGAGGGGCCGCCATCTTGTCCCGGGCGCCGCCGCCGCCATGCCGGAGGACACGGACTGGGAGGTGTACAAGGCGCCGCCGAAGCGCACCCCGGTCGGGGAGAGGGCCACGTCGCTGCCCAACCCGGTCGAGTTCTTCCAGGCCGTTTTCAACAATGTCATCGACAGGCCCGTCACCTTGATCCGAGGTACCGGCGCCGGGCGCCTCGCGAGCGCCGCTCCCCGGGGAGCTGCCCAGCGGCGGCGGCTACCGGCGCGGGGAGCCGCGACACGGGCACCCGGGGCGCGGCGGGGAGCGGGGCTGACACGCAGGGACACGGGGACAAACCCGCAGGGACACCCGGGACAGGGACACGAACATATGCATATTGAGACAGAGGGACATGGGACACAAACACATGGACAGGAGCACTGCACACAAATGCTGAAATGCAGAGGGACACAGGACAAACCTGCAAGGACTTGGGCAGACACACAGGGACGTGGGACAAACACACAAGGACAGAGCTGCAGGAATGTGCAACACACGAGGGCACGGGCAGCGAGGGGACACACAGGGACACAGGTATACGAGACATGGGACGCACGGGCTCCACACAAAGGTGGTAGGTGGGAGCTGAGGCCACAGCCCGCGCTGCAGCAGCCCCCGGCCTGGGGGCTCCTCACCACGGGGCTGCTCGTTGCAGAGTGGATCGAGCGCCAGCAGAACAGGAACAAATTCTACTACTACCACCAGCAGTTCCGCCGCGTGCCCGACGTGAGCGAGTGTGTGGAGGGCGACTACCTGTGCTTCTTCGAGGCCGAAGCGCAGTGGAGGAGGGACAGGTACAGTGCGTGGGCAGGCCTCCCTGGACACCACCGAGCTCTGACCTGTGCACCAAGCAGGGCAGCAGTTCATTTAAATTCACAGAGCTGTCTGGGGTTTTGGTGGGAACCTGTGGGGTGTTGCTGGGGTGGAGGGTTTGCCAAAATGCTTAGAAAAGCAGCTCCTGTTCTGCCGCGGGACATGGGTGCTCACCCTGGCCTGCATCCCCTGTGGCACAGCAGAGCCACAAGCAGAGCCTGCATAGGACACATCCCTGCAGCACCGAGTCCCAACTGCACCACAAAAACCTGGAGCTGAGCCCCCGTGTTGCATCCCTGCCTCCTCGCTCAGCCCTGCTGCAGCTCTGGTTACCGTTATCCCCCTGTTCTCCCCAGGATGGTGGATCGAGAGATCGTGGCGATCGTGCGGGAACGGTTTGCAGCCTGCCAGCACAGGGAAGGGCCCAATCAGTTCCAGAACTGTGCCAAGGAGATGGAGCAGCTCCTTCAAGTCACCAAAGCCTATCAGGACAAATGTGAGTGCGGCAACACACTGTGGTAGTAACACCACACCGGGGGGGGAAAAAAAGAGACTCAAAATGATGATTCCCCATCTTTGTGTTGAAACGCTCTTGAAAAATGCTGCAAGCAGCTGGGCTTGCTTTTGTGCTCAGATGCATTGAAACCACCAGTCTAGGTGGGGGACACCAAGAGCAGAGCTGCACTGGTCTGTGCATCTCTTCAAGCTGCAGTTTGCACCATGCCCCAAGAAAGGGATGCCAGACTTCATACTGAATATTCATTTTTTACAGCTAGAGGGCTTCTACTTCAGTTTGCTTGATTTCCTTCCTCTTTAGATGGCGATCTTGGTGCCCATGGAAATGCAAGGACATGTTTGATGAAGCAGAAGCACATGATGATGGAAGAAAGGAAAGCCCAGGAAAATGCAGATCACTAAATGAGTACAGCTGGGTTCATACTTGTCAGTGGTGTGCAGACCCGCTATTGCATGGGGCAGCTTTGAACTGTGATGTTGACCTGTACAATAAACTCAGAGGCCAGATATCTGCCAAACCACTAACATCTAGAGTCATCTTTTGAGGTAGTTCTACACAAGCTCTTTGTACAGTTCTTTTTTTCATGTCTATGCTCGGCCTTGAATCTCTGGAGGATTTTACCATACTCTAATGTGAGCCCCTGCATTCAGGAACTGACTGCACTGGGAATGCCTCCCTCCATGGACCATGGCTAATGCACTAGCCTGCTGTATCCAGAGCATTCCCTCCTGGTCCCAGGGGGAATCCCTGAGTTACTGTAAAGATTACATGCTGTAGGAGGACAGTATCAACTTGTACATTTGTTTCTCTCCAGAGCTGGTTCTGGAACCCCTGTAGGATTAACACAATATGATTAACACAAGAATTAGTAACATAATGTTCTATTCTGCATAACAGATGTTCAGGCTCTGGCACAGAGACTCAACCCACTCAAATCCCCAGAGATTTAACCTTCCTGCATTACACATACCAATGAATCCAGTCACAACTTCTGGTTCACTGATCACTTTATTGTCTTGCACAAAAACCACTTAAGTAGTTGCCACAGCAGCTGCCTGGGTTCTCTGCACCGAGACTCTGGTGTGGGTCTTAGCCAGATGATCAGTGAACTCCTGCAAAAAGGAAAAGGAGAAATGCAGCATTCCTGTTTTCTCAAACCAAGTTTTCTCAGCAGTGGATCCCTTTCCAAGGAGGTGGGGGAGGCATTCAGACACAGCTTATTTCTGCTTAATCCTTTAAGTTTTTGTCTTCCTATTTTCTCTGTTTTTCATGAAATGCCATTTCCAAGTACAGCAATATACACCAAATAACCACCAAATACTATCTGGTCTTAAACAGGAAAAGAAACTACTCATCACACTGAGCTCCAGCCGGCTGGAGAGTTCAGAGGGAAGGACAAAATCATCAGGAAGACAGTACCGGTCCCCAGCTCAAGGGAAAACTGACACTGTGAACACTAGGAACACAGCACATGGGGCTGTACAAGCCTTGTTGCCCTTAGCTTTCCTAAGGAAAAAAATTAATTTGGTTGCAGTCAGCTGCTCTCCCCTTATTAATCAATTAGCAAGTCTTTGGATCCAAAGATGCAAACTTCTGAATGTGACAGGGCAGGAAAGGTAGACATTGAGCTGGGGATATTTTGTTCTCTTACCTGGTAAGGAGACTTGGTGAACACAGTCTCTTTCCAAAGATCGGGGGTCAGATAGCTGTAAGTCTTGGAGATGGCATCAAAGGTGGCTTTGGCTATTGACACAAGATGATGATTGCAGATTAACATTAAAGAAAATTGCTCTCATAGCAACATACTGATCTTTAAAAATGTAGAATTTAATATGCATCAGGGAGACCATAACAGGATCCCTCTGCTATATATATAAAACTCAAGTTACTTTCTCTCACCATTTACGACAGTTAACACTACTTCAACCAAGTGTAACCGCGCAGATTGGGAGATTTTTAACCAATACATAACGGAAAAAATCTACTATTTTCATAACTTCAGTAGAGCCTTTAGAGCAGACTAGCCTGCACTGCAGAAGTAACAGCAGTCACTTTGACTCCTGCTTGAATGTTAAGAGCACAGATTAACTAGTACTATGGAAACTGCTATGTCATATTCCCAAAAATGACCAAGAAAAAGCAACAGCTGAAAAAACTCAAACTCACCAAAGTTGCCCAGGGTGGCAGTACAGCCCCTGGCCGAGGTGTAGCAGTCATCGATACCAGCCATCATGAGCAGCTTCTTGGGAACAGGGGCAGACACAATTCCTGTACCACGGGGAGCTGGGATCAGGCGCACCAGGACAGACCCACACCGACCGGTGACCTGTGCGGGGACAGTCAGTTACAACCCCCCAGTCACCCCCCAATGTCGATGCCAAAGCCACAGCAGCAGCTCCTTCCCACCTTGCAGGGCACGGTGTGGGGCTTGCCAATCTTGTTGCCCCAGTAGCCCCGCCGCACGGGTACGATGGACAGTTTGGCCAGGATGATCGCCCCTCGAATAGCTGTTGCGACTTCCTTGGAGCACTTGACACCGAGACCAACGTGGCCATTGTAGTCCCCAATGGCAACAAAAGCCTAGAATTAAAAGCAGAGCTGTCAGGTATGGCTGCATCACATTGCAACACCAGGATAAAACTATGCATTAACCCAAGCAGTGCTCAGCAGTGACACCCACAGCTCACTATGAGCAAGTATATTAACACAAGTCCTATCCCCTCAAACTTACTCAGCACAGCATATAGCCTAAGCAGCCCCTTTCCTCTTAAGTCAAAGACAGCTAGGGCTACAGAACTGGATTTCAAATCCCTGCTACAGCCTCATACTCAGAAGTCCCAGGAATTTCAAGCCAAAGTTCCCTCTCCACATCTAAGAACTCTCTATTCACCAAAGGCCCCAGAAAGCCAGAATCACTGCATAAATCCAACCTGAAATTGTGCTAGGGCAGCCAGTAACAAGATTTAAGAGTATTATTATAGCTTTAACAGTAATCTTTGGCGCTATATAAACTGATCTGTACTGCTGAGCATTATAATAATGAAGATTATCTAAAGTATACCAGCAACAGGACATACAATAAAACAGCAGTCAAAACATGCTGTTCTCAAAATACGCAACAGGAAATAAAATAAAAAACTTACCTTAAACCTGGTACGCTGACCAGCTCGAGTCTGTTTCTGGACAGGCATAATCTTCAAAACCTCATCTTTCAAAGAAGAGCCCAGGAAGAAATCAATAATTTCTGACTCCTACAAGACCAAATCATGTTATCAGTCCAAGTCATGCTTCTCGGTTGAATAGACTCAGCCTAAACTTCCTAAGCAGTAAATGCAGCAACTACTGCTAACTTCACAGTCCAGGTAATTCAGCTTTCACTGCCGATTATGTAATGACTTTTAACCATTCCACCTCACCTTGATTGGAAGTGAGAAGAGATAGATCTCCTCAAGAGACTTGATCTTCATATCCTTGACCAGGCGACCAAGTTTGGTGACAGGAACCCACTATAAAACAAATTAGGTGACAAGAATAGTCAGCAGCACCACCAGCACAAGGGAACAGCTCCACCCATGCTCTCTTTCACCTATAGCTTTCCCTTATAGCCTCTGCAGGAAGATGCACACTGCCTCACAGAGAGCTTTAAAAACACAGAATCGTTATGGTTGTGAAAATCCTTCGAGATCAAGTCCAACCATAAACCCATCCCCACCCTGCCTGCTAAGCCATGTCCTTAAGTGCCTCATCCACACGTTTCTTGAGCACTGTCAGGAACAACAACTCCAACAACATCTCGAGCAACTTATTCCAAGAGCTTCACCGCTCTTTCCATGGAGGAAGTGTATAAAGAAGGGGAGTGGAGGCACCCGCCACCCGTCCCGCTCGGCCCCGCGCCCGCTGCCTCCCGCCCCCCGCACTTACTTCCTTGTCTTCGGCCTTGCCTCCACGGGCCCCGCGGCCCCTGCCGCGGCCCCTGCCCCGGCCGCGCCCGCGGCCCCGCAGCCCGGTCCCGAAGCCGCCGCGGAAGCCCCCTCGGGCGGCTCCTGCACCTCCCGCAGCACCGGCGTCGTCCGCCATTTGCTAAAGCAGAGAAGAGGCCGTGTCAGGTGCCGCCATCTCCCTCCGCGCGGGGAAATGGCCCCGCGGCGAAGCAGCAGGGCCACATCCGCTCCGATCCAGGCGGCCGCGGGCGACCCCACGGCGGCGGCACCGCCGATGGGCGCGGATGAAGCGGCGGCAGCACCGAGCCCCGCCCGCCGCCATCGCGCCCCCCTCCAAGCACTTACGTGTTCTCTCAGAGTAGAAGGCCCCGCCGCCGCCCCGCTCGCTATTTATACCCGGAGATCTCGCGAGAGCACCGCCCCTGGCAGGCCCCGCGCCATGAATGAGGAATACCCGCGCGCTACGGCTCGCGCGCGACCGCCGCATTATACAGGGTACGGGGCTGACAGCCCCGCCCACACATGCGCATGCGCAAGTCTCGGGCGCGCGCGGGCGGAGGTTATATAAGGAGCGCGCGGACACGGGCCGCGCAGTGGGGCAGAGCGCGGTGTAGGTGAGAGGAGAGGCTAGTTAATAAAGGAGGGGGCTGCGGCGGTTGTTGAAGTTGTTTTGTGAGTTGGGGGCTCCTGGGGTTACGGGCAGGGGCGGGTCGCGTGGGGCAGGCACGGTCTGAAAGTCACCGCGGGCCTCCCGTGGCTCCCGGTGAGATAACTGTGCCCAGAGCATAGGGAGCATTAAGCTTATTGCCCGCGGCGCTGGTGTGTGGGCAGTGAAACCCATGTTCCGATAACTGCTGATGCCGGGAGTGCTGCAGAGGCGAGTACGGGGGAACGTGTGCTGGGGTAATGGCTGTTCTTGAGGGTGCCTTTTTTCTCTTCCTACAGGAGCTGTGGTGGCTGCGCCGTGACCCTGGAGTGCTGAGCATCACCAAAGGACAGCCTGAAATGAGGCCCTGTGCTGGCTCTGCTAGATGTAATGTTCATCTGTGTGGGCTGTAGGTGATGCCTATTCCTGTCTTCCTAAGCAGGAGCTGCCCAGCCTGCACGCCTGGCACCGAGCAGTTGCCTTCTGTATTCCTGGTGACTGTTCAGCGTTTATTTATTTGATGCTTGTGGAAAAGAGCCTTACAAAATAATGGCAAGATTATAATGGTAGATAATATGACATGTAAATTCATACGAGTGCTTTAGTAGGTTTGGTAGAATTGCTGTAGTGGGCTGGTGCTGCCTGTGTTCCTGCGATGCTCCATAAGGGGGATTCCCTGGACTCCTGTCAGGCAGTTCCTTCTATCAGAACCTGAGTGTTACGCATGCTCTGGGACATCAAGTTGCTAAGATGGTTACTGAGATGCCTTCTCTGTTTAAAAGATGAGTCATGATCAGTGTGCCAGGCAAGCACTGAGCTGGTGGTAGGACTTGACTTCGCACCAAGAAGCTCTGTAGGGAGATGTGAAGGAAGCACCTGCAGTCAGGGTTGTGGTGAGCACGCCGGCGCTTCGGCAGAGCCTGCGTGAAAGAAGCTGTGTTTATGTGCAATAAAATGCTGGTAAAGTGGAAACTCGCTGCAAGCCTTTCCTTGTTGCGCCCGTGCGGCCTGAGGCTGCTCTGCCGTGCCCGGGGGCTGCTCGGGGCGCAGGGGGCGGGAGCGGCTCCCGAACGGGCAGCGAAGAGCGGCGGCCGCGGCGCCGCCGAACATGGCGGCCGCCCGCCTCCCAGCTCGGCGTGGCCCTACGCCACTGGTGTGCGCCGGAAGTGATCCCCTCATCTCCATGGCAACCGGGAGCGCCGGAAGCGGCCGCCACGCGAGGCGGGCAGCATGGCGGCGGCCGGGCCCGCCAGCGGCGTCGTGCGCTTCAAGAGCAAGTGAGGGCGGCGGGGGGGAGG